GAAAAAATTGTAAAATCAAATAAGTAAAATATTCAATTCAAGTACGCACATATTAAAATAAAGCAAAACGCCATGCGTAAAGTGCAGATGGCGTTTTGCACTTCGAACAAAAAAAAAAAAGTATATTTCGAACCCTGACCCTCTGGAAATCAACAAATTGTGGCAAGCATCTTTGCGCACTCAGCTACAGCCAGACATGTAAATGTGCTTTCAAATGTTGAATTTGAATCAACACCACAGCACGTGATTAGGGCATTTGCACAGATAAACCATGTACTACATATGTATGTATGTACATATGGATATGTTGTCAGCGCTCTGTATGCTTGGTATACATACCCTGAGGGAAATGCATGTATCTAACTATAAGTAAAATCGAAGTTGATTAGGCAGCAACTAAAGGTCACTATTATCTGTATATTTTCTTTGAGGAAACTTAACTATATTTCAATGGCGATGACTGCGAAATAGTCTAGGGTGGTTACCTATCCATTAGATATCCACTAACTTGTAACCAACTCCTTTTGGACATAAAATATCAATAAGAAAAACAAAATAGTTTTTTTTAATTGTTTATTTATTTACTTCATTTTATTGTCCCTGCAGTGAAAAATTATCAGTTGTAGAAAATAACCGACTTATAGTTGGCTGGCTTTTTGGCCAGATTTCGATAAATGCCTCACTTTTAATTAGCTATGACAAAACAAACTTAAAGTGATTTGTAAAGTCGTCCAGGAATCATGTAGACACAATCCGGAGTTGGTTTTCTTTACAAGTTTCCAGTTAAAAATCCTCATACAAAAACTATTTTGAATAAATTTTTTTTCTGCACTTCACAAATTTTTTCCAATTCAGGACCAATAAAATGAAGTTCGAAATTTTTAATTATCTTTGATGTTATGTCTGACGGAATTTCGGCCATCGCCCCGCAAAAGTAGTTAGCTTTTTTCGAATAAAATATACAATTAATAGCAAGCACTAGTGTTCGCGTAAACAGACTAAGGTTAGATATAAGCTAACGTCACTCCCTGCAGGGATATTACATATTTGTTTATTTATTCTGCTTTAGGTGGTCCCATATTCGAACTTCAAAATGATAACATAAAATTTCGACCTTTCTTTTATTTGTTCTCAATCCGAAAAAGTATTTGTGAAGTGCAGAAAGAAAGTGATTTATGAAAGATTTTTGTTTATAGCACTAAAGATAACAAAACACAGATCGTTAACAACATTGATTCCGCAACTTTTTTTTAATCGAAGAAATTTAGAAATGCGCAAGTCAATTTTAAGACCAAAGGTAACTCGTACGGATTTTTATTAATTTTTTCTACGCTAATGTCCTCATTTTTTTTTTAATTTGTACTGATTTGTATTGAATTTTCAATTATGAGAATACAAATTATACAAAATAAATAAATAAACCCTTACTAGCCTGGCTCTAAATAAAAATTTAGAACATTTTAATACAAATTTGTTATTTTTTGTAAAAACTTTGAAACTTGGTTTTATATGTTTTTTTGTTTATAGAACGAACTATATTAAAAAAGAAAATAACTAAAATCAAACAACTAATAGTCAAAACGTGTAAATAGAGGTGTCGTATAGTTATAATAAGCACTATATATGTGTGTATGTACCTGCACATTGGATGGGGTGCTTATAGCCCATAAAACAGCATCAGCTACATCTTCCGATTTAAGGCTAGGCAGCATCTCTTTAACTACACTACGAATAGGCGATGGCAGAATATCGGTATCCACTATGCCCGGACTGATTGTCTGAAATAAAAGAAAACCTAAAATTTTTGAAGTTTCCCAAGGGCTTACGGCGGACCTCCATAGCATGCGTATCCGCATGCGTGAGTTTTACATTTACATCCATAAAACTCTCTTACGCTTTTACGTTTCTTTTACATGCGTTGCTAT